ACTGGGATGGACTGGGATGGGTTTAGGATGGACTGGGATATACTGGGATGGACTGGGAAGTGACTGGGATAGACTGGGATATACTGGGAGGGACTGGGAAGTGACTGGGAGAAAATGGGATAAACCGGGACGGAGTTAGAGCGGATCGGAATGGAGTTAAAGGGGACTGGGATTGGTTTGAATGGGACTGGGAGGGGTTTAGGATGGACTGGGATGGACTGGAATGGGTTTAGAGGATACTGGGATATACTGGGATGGACTGGGATAAACTGGGAACAGGCTGGAAGTGACTGGGAGAAAATGGGATGAACTGGAACGGAGTTAGAGCAGATCGGAATGGAGTTAAAGGGGATTGGGATGGGTTTTAGGGGCACTGGGATGGACTGGGAAGTGACTGGGATAGACTGGGATGAACTGGGATGGACTGGGATGGGTTTAGGATGGACTGGGATAAACTGGGATGGAGTTAGCGGATACTGGGATGAACTGGGATATACTGGGATAAACTGGACCTTTACTGGAGCCCCTGAGAAGTCGCCCAAGCATTACTGGTTTGTACTGGTTTCTATTGGTTTAAACTGGTTTAACCTGGTCCGTACTGGTTTAAACTGGTCTGTACTGGTCCAAACTGCTCTGAACTGGTTCATACTGGTTTAAACTGGTCCATGCTGGTTCAGACTGGTTCAAACTGGTCTGTACTGGTTCAAACTGGTTTATACTGGTTCAAACTGGTCCAGACTAGTTTAAGCTGGTCCGTACTGGTTCAAACTGGTCCGTACTAGTTTAAACTGGTGTCCATTCTGGTTTAAACTGATCCGTACTGGTTTAAACTGGTTCAGACTGGTCTGTACTGGTTCACACGGGTCGGTGCTGGTTTAAACTGGTCCACACTGGTCTGTACTGGTTTAAACTGGTTCTTACTGGTTTAAACTGGTCCAGACTGGTTTAAACTGGTGTCCATACTGGTTTAAACTTATCCGTATTGGGTTTAAACTGGTTCAAACTGGTTCTTACTGATTTAAACTGGTCTGTACTGGTCCAAACTGCTCTGAACTGGTTCATACTGGTTTAAACTGGTCCATGCTGGTTCAAACTGGTCTGTACTGGTTCAAACTGGTTTATACTGGTTCAGACTGGTCCAGACTAGTTTAACCTGGTCCATACTGGTTCAAACTGGTCCGTACTAGTTTAAACTGGTGTCCATTCTGGTTTAAACTGATCCGTACTGGTTTAAACTGGTTCAAACTGGTTCTTACTGGTTTAAACTGGTTCATACTGATTTAAACTGGTCTATACTGGTTTAAACTGGTCCAAACTGGTCCGTACTGGTTTAAACTGGTCCACACTGGTCTGTACTGGTTTAAACTGGTCCGAACTGGTTCAAACTGGTTTTTGCTGGTTTAAACTGGTCTATACTGGTCCAAACTGGTCCATAGTGGTCCAAACTGGTCCACACTGGTCCAAACTGGTCCAAACTGGTCCGTACTGGTTTTGCAGACCTACGCCGAGATGGACCCGACCACGGCGGCGCTGGAGAAGGAGCACGAGGCTGTGAGTGACCCAAAATCACCAAAAATGACCCCCAAAAAAATCAGAAAAAATTATAAAAAATTACAAAAAAAATCACAAAATTCCCAAAAATGTAAAAAAAAAATCCAAAAAATTAAAAACAAAATCACAAAAAAACACAAAAAAATCACCCCAAAAAATCACAAAAATCACCAAAAAAATCAGGGCCATTTTGGGTCATTTTTATTGGGATTTTTTTGGGGGATTTTTTTGGGAATTTTTGGGAATTTTGAGGATCCTGTCCCATCCCAGAATCCCCTGGGTGAAATTTGGGCCATTTTGGGCCATTTTTATCAGAATTTTGGGGGATTTTTGGGGATTTTTTTGGAAATTTCAGGATTTTTTTTTGAATTTTGGGAATTTCAGGAGGTTTTTTTTTGGAATTTTGGGAATTTTGAGGATCCTGTCCCTTCCCAGATCCCTCAGGTGAAATTTGTGCCATTTGGGGTCATTTTTATCGGGATTTTTTTGAATTTTGGGATTTTTGGTTCATTTTTATCGGGATTTTTTTGGGAATTTCGGGATTTTTTTGGGAATTTTGAGGATCCTCTCCCCTCCCCAGATCCCTCAGGTGAAATTTGGGCCATTTTGGGGCCGATTTTGGGCCGTTTTAGGCCATTTTGGGTCATTTTTATCGGGATTTTTTTGGGAATTTTGGAATTTTTTTTTTAATTTTGGGATTTTTTTTTTGGATTTTTGGGAATTTTGAGGATTTCTCTCACTTCCCCAGATCACCAAGGTGAAATACGTGGACAAGATCCACATCGGCCATTTTGGGTCATTTTGGGGGGATTTTTTGAGCTTTTGGGTCATTTTTATCGGGATTTTTTTGGGAATTTTGGGATTTTTTGGGAATTTTTGGGATTTTATGGGAATTTTGAGGATCCTCTCCCCGTCCCCAGATCACCAAAGTGAAATTGGGGCCATTTTGGGCCATTTTTATCAGAATTTTTGGGGGTTTTTTGGGATTTTTTTTGGATTTTGTGATTTTTGGGTCATTTTTTTTGGGAATTTTGGGAAATTTTGGGAATTTTGAGGCTCCCATCCCCCTCTCCAGATCACCAAGGTGAAATACGTGGACAAGATCCACATCGGCCATTTTGAGATCGACGCCTGGTACTTCTCGCCCTTCCCGGAGGATTATGGGAAACAGCCCAAGCTGTGGATCTGCGAATTCTGCCTGAAATACATGAAAATGGAGAGGAGCTACCG